TCCTCTTTTTCTTTTTAATTTCCAAAACATTTATAATATTTCCTCATTTTCTTAATTCCAAATTAATATTAAAACCTCATAATATTAATATTAATAATAATAATAATACTAATATCAACATTAATATTAATTATTAATTATTATGATTATCGATGATATAATATTAATATTATGCTCCTTATTTCCCTAACAACTTCCACACAAAGCACGCCGAAACAAAACGACACGGGAAAACTTAAATAATTAAAATGGGCGTTACACGGCTACCCTAGGGCACTCAAGTGCCTAGGGACGCTTCGAGTCCCGTGCTAGGGGTATAAGTACTTGAGTCCCCGTCCATTCCATATTTTTCGCTTCTGCTTCCTTTCTCACGTGACGACTGATTTGTTCGTGCCTGCTCGCCATCTCTGCCGCAACCACCGTCGCGCATTCCGCTGTTACCTACAATCCAATAAGTTTCCTCTCCTTGTCTTCTATAGTTTCGTACCTTAGAGCCGGCGTCGGGGCGTGTTGAATGCCCCGAGGATGAAGGCGAATCTCCTCCGTCCTGTCCCGAGGAGGGATGCGAATGTCTGCCGCTATAGGTGGCGTTTTCTAGGTTTAGGATGAAATGCGCTGAGGTCGTGAGAGGATGGGGTTTGAATTCCCCGGGGACAGGCACTAGTTTCAGATGGACGCCCCGGGGATGGATAATAGTATTCCATGAATGCCCCGGGGAGGTTGATAGGCTCAGAAGCGTTTCTCGGGGACGTCGAGGGGCGTAGGACGAATTCCCCGAAGACGCTTGCCCGGATGGCTTTTACTCCCGTTGTGGATGTTGTCCCCGTCGCCCTTTCACTTGGTCTGCGGTGGAAGGGTGAATTTGATCTTGGACATCGAATTCATTGTTTCCTTCTGCTTTTCAAGTGTTAATGATATCGTGGGTCCCAGGGACCATGGACGAGGATGAAGAGCAAGAGGTTCCTACCGTCGAGAATGGAGCTCGTCCGGTCGAGGAGTGGGTGGCCGAGGAACCCCTGAATACACCCTCGTATTCCGTGGATGATCAGAATGGCGCATTTGCCACCGTCGAGGATAGGCGTGAGAATGACCCCAAAAACTGGCAGGCGTACCGGCCTCGCGAGCACCACCGTATCTGCTCGTCATTTGAGAAGATGCGTTTCCCCATGTACGAATTTTGTTTCCGCGAAGCCGGGCTCCAGTTGTCGTTCACGGATTTCTAATTGGGGGTCTTCGACTGGTTGCGGTTAGCCCCCTCACAACTGCACCCCAACGCCGTAGCCTTCGTTCGAGCGTTTGAGATCGTTTGTCGATATCTGGAGATCGGGGTAACGTTGCCGTTGTTTTTCCGGATTTTCATCTGCAGCGGCAAACGGTGGATGGTCGGCACGGATGGGTTTTGCTGAAACAACCGAAAAAGCTTTTTCGGACGTACATGGATTCTGTCCGGGACTTTAAGGCTCGATTCTTTGTTGTTAGGCCGATATCCCATGGAGCGTGCTCCTCGTTGTACAGGAGAGGGTAGCGAGTAGTAAATGGGCAGCGGGAGGAAGTCCTGATATCGAAGGTGCCCTTGGAGTGGACCGAGGAGCGTTTCTCGAGGGGTACTGACCGATACGTAGTGCGGGCGGGGACCCTAGATGAGGAGGACCTGGTCAGTTATCAGAAGATAGTTGCGTTCGTGGCCGACCTACCCCCGTCGAACCTCGTGACGCCCGATGGTAGATATATCCGCGACAGTGAGGGGCGCCTTTGTCAGAAGCAGAGGTTGATCAGCACGAAGGCTCTGCTCGAGTGTTCGACGGAGGAGGAGGCCCTTAGTTATCTAGGTGGTGGTTGTCTCCCTCTTCCCTTGACCCCTCAATTCTTTATTCGTTTGCTGACATCTTTCTTTCGTTTTGTAGGGAGCATGTCTACTGCTTAGGAGAGAGTGAAGAAGTTGGCTGCCACCAGAGTCGCAGTTAAGACCGGTAAGACGCGGGTTGCCCAAGTGGCCGGGCAAGCTGTTTCTGATCAGGGAGGCAAGGGTTCTTCTTCGTCGCTCCAGAGCAGCCAGTCCCCGTTGTCTCAAAGGGCTGCTAAGCGGGCCAAGATTCATCAGCCCGAGGGTGTTGTCGACTTGATGGCAGGGTTTGCCGAGGAGGGCTTCCTAATCCCGCCGTGCCATCAGCACCCTGGCTTCTTTCATGGTGCTAGGTCGCCAGTTGTACCGGTCGGGGAGGCAAAGAAGGTCCTCGGTTTGGACTGGGCTACTCGGAAGCAGGTTTTGACCGAGGATTTGACTGCCATGATGCGGGTGTTCTCGACGGCCTTGGTCCTGAGTGATGAAAGCTGCTCCTCAGCCGAGCTGGCCAAGCTGCAGGGTGACCTCACTTTCGCGCAGTCACGGCTAACAAAGCTAACCGGGGAGTTGGAGAAGAGTCAAGAAGATACCGCTGCGCAGCGCAAGCGGGGGGAGAATGCCGAGGAGAAGCTGAAGGCTGCGGAGGTGGAGGTGCAGGCGCTGAAGGCCCGCGTGGGGGAGCTGGAAGGCTCTCTCCGTCTTGTCGACGACGAGACGGATGAGGACAAGCTTATGGTCACCCGTGCGGATATGCTAAGGAGGATCCGGGAGTTGTCTGATGACGTGTCCTCGCGGAGAGGAGCACGTGGAGAACGTGTGAGGGACACGTCTTTCTGCCCGACGGGGGAAACGTTCTATCCGGTAGGGCAACGTCTGGTCGACGGGGGCCTTGTGCTCGACACATATGAGAAAAGCTCCTTTGGGCCTTTCCTCAAGTATAGGTGGGCTCGACCTTCCCGATCAAGCCGGGGTCCAGACCAGAACACTTAAAAATTTGAATCAAACCTAAATCAACCTTAAAAAACCAACATGCAAAATAATTGTTACCACTTTTAAACATATCTTCAAACCATATTTCATATAATGTGAAACTATTAATACACATCACATGATTAAAATTTGACGATTGTATTGTGAGTCGAGTGACATGATAATAGTGATTTGATACGTGCTAACCAATTGCTTCTTAAGTAAACTTCATACATTCTTAAAGTTTGAAATGAACTTTAACTAAATTTCACAAAACCAACTTTTATATATATATATATATATATATATATATATATATATATATATATATATATATATATATATATATATATATATATATATATATATATATATATATATATATATATATATATATATATATATATATATATATATAATATGTAGAATTCTTAAGAATTACCTATATATATAAAATATGTAGAATTCTTAAGAATTACCTTTATCGTATTTTATGTTCAATTCAAAAATATGTAAAATTAGACTATTCTTGTAATACATAATCAATAGTACATTGTAGTATTTTCAATATAAATCAATCTCGTAACTCCAACAATTATTTGCATATTCCCATCCCACTTTTCAATTTAAATTAGAAAAGTCCCAAAAAAAAGGACTTTCTTTTGTACTAAAAAGGTGCTAAAACTTGAAAGAGAAAGAAGAAGCAAGAGGTTCTCCAATCCCAATTCCCAAACTGGCCCCATACATACATAGCAACCTTTTTCCATGCATCTTAACCAATGTAGGTTAACATAACCATAGCATGTGGTCACATCCTAACTCTATTCACACGGGTACCCTGGGCCCAACCTCATGGGCTCACTTTCCATGGTCCCCTCCTATCTCTCTTCACCAAACTAACCTATAAGTTACACTTAATTTTACATTAATTTTAAGTCAAAAAGTTAAACACTTATATTATCCATCCAAAGTACTATAAATGTATAAAACCATTCAGAGTAAACTCATATGTATATACTTATATTATCATTTATATACCAAAATATAAAGGATGCCAAAAAGTTCCACCAATTTTATCTAGATTTTTTAGGTATAAGTTCATTTGTACTTACAAACAACATTTTTCAAAAAAAATACCACATAAATTTGAAAAAAAAACAAATTTATGTAAATTCAAATAAAATAGATATTATAAAATTGAAAAAAAAAACAAAAAAACAAAATAAAACCAAAATGTTTAATTTTAATGAGAGTTGTTTCAAATTTTTAGACATAAATTTGTCATAATTTAACTATGATAAATTAATAAAAATCTTATTTAATTATGTTTTAACAGCGAAAAATATTTTATGAGACGGTATTTAACTACAGTTAAAATTTAGATTTTATATGATAATTTACCTTACACGCGCTTAAGATGGTGATGATTATAATTTTAATTTGCGCGTTTTGTTTAATTTTGGTTCCTTTAGTTTTTATATAAAATATTTTGCCCTCAAACTTTTTATTGTTTCAATTATAAGTCCCTTCATCCATCTTCATTTGCTTAAAATCCTATGATTCTTTGATAACTTATCAAAATTCACAATTCGAATGATTAAATTACTTTAAAAGTCTTAATGCAACTGCATTATTTTAATATGGTATTTAATTTCAGAACTAAATTTAAGGATATATATTTTTGTATATAAATAGGATATCAGTAAATTTAATACTATTATGATTTCTCTTATCATCTCATTCAAATGTGTCGATATATTATCACTTCTTTTATCATCTCTTTCAAATATACGATTTATGTCGATATATTATAACTTCTCTTATTATCTCATTCAAGTATGTGATTTTTGTCCGTATTTAAAGATACATCTTTATAAAAATATCTTACTGAAATATTAACAAAATACATGAGATATCAATTCTTGAATGTGCTTATATATACCCTACACACACTATGCAAGTCACACATTTGTACTCTACAATTACAAAACTCACTCTCACTTTCTCTGACACCTTCTCTTTCCCAACCTCATCTTCATCTCACAAACCAGTAGTACTTCTACAAGTACACTACCCACCAGACAACCCCTCAAACACATCTCCTTCCTACTCCTACTTAACTAACTATAACCGTTTTCTTCCTTTCTCACATGCCACTAAACCTTCACTCAAAATAACCACACAAAATATGATTACATTCAAAGATCTATACACTGTCCTAACAGCAGTTGTTCCATTATATGTTGCTATGATCTTAGCCTACGGTTCTGTCCGTTGGTGGAAGATTTTCTCACCCGATCAATGCTCCGGCATAAACCGTTTCGTCGCGGTTTTCGCCGTTCCTCTTCTCTCTTTCCATTTCATCTCATCTAACAATCCATACCAAATGAACTTCAGATTCATAGCAGCAGACACACTGCAAAAAATCATCATGCTTTTCGCACTTTCGATATGGACAAAGTTCACTAAAAATGGCAATTTAGAATGGATGATAACGATTTTCTCGTTGTCGACACTTCCAAACACTTTGGTTATGGGAATTCCTCTTCTAATTGCTATGTATGGTGATTATTCAGGAACCTTAATGGTTCAAATTGTGGTTCTTCAGTGTATCATTTGGTACACTCTTTTGCTGTTTCTTTTTGAGTACCGTGGTGCTAAGCTTTTAATCATGGAACAGTTTCCGGAAACCGCAGCTTCGATTGTTTCCTTTAAAGTCGACTCGGACGTTGTTTCGCTGGACGGAAGGGATTTTCTTGAAACGGATGCCTCTGTTGGTGATGATGGGAAGTTACATGTTACAGTGAGAAAATCTAACGCGTCGCGGAGGTCATTTATGATGACTACTCCGCGACCGTCGAATTTGACTGGAGCTGAGATTTACAGTCTCAGCTCCACGCCAAGAGGGTCTAATTTCAACCACGCCGAGTTTTACTCCATGATGGGTTATCAACCAAGACATTCCAATTTTGGTACTAATGATCTGTATTCTGTTCAGTCTTCTAGAGGACCCACTCCTAGACCGTCGAATTTCGAAGAAAACGGCGCAAGCTCTCCTAGATTCGGGTTTTATCCGGCACAAACCGCGCCTGCTTCATATCCTGCGCCGAATCCTGAATTCTCTTCTACTGTGAAAACTGTGAAGAGTCAAAATTTGATGCAGCAGCCACAACAGCAACAGGTTTCATTGCAGACAAAGGGTTCTCAGGATGCTAAGGAATTGCACATGTTTGTGTGGAGCTCAAGCGCTTCGCCGGTTTCGGAAAGTGCCGGTCTCAATGCCTTCCGAAATTCGGAGCAATCAGAAGAAGGTGCTAAAGAGATCAGAATGGTGGTTGCTGATGAACATAATCAAAATGGTGAAATCAATAACAAAGGTAACTGTTTGATTTCTTTAGTCCTTTCAAAATGGCTCGAATTTCTCTAATATCTCTGCATCTGCATAGCTATCAACTAAAATAGTTTACGGAACAAAATGAATGATTTATTGCACTAAACTTTGATAAATTTTTGTTTTGCAGTTTAATTAATTCTTGTTAAAGATATTATTATTAATATGATTACTTAAAGTTTTTTTAATTTAATAATGATGAATTTTTAGGGGAACTTGGTGAAGAAGAAGATTTCAAGTTCATTGGAGTGAAGGGAGAAGAACAAGTTGTAGAAGGGCCCAATGGGCCTAACAAGCTGAGCTCCAATGCGACACCAGAGATCCACCCTAAAGCCACCGGAGTAGCCGATTCCGGTGTCGGAAAGCTCATGCCTCCGGCGAGTGTCATGACTCGTCTCATACTCATTATGGTTTGGAGAAAACTTATCCGTAATCCCAACACTTATTCAAGTCTCATTGGTCTCATTTGGTCCCTTGTTGCATTTAGGTAAATACTATAAAATAACATGTTTATGTTTGGATTGAAAATTTTAATTGTTAATTTATCATTTATTTTTTCTCTTTTTTTTATTATTATTATAAATCAGTTACAATTATTTTTATTGGTTGTATACAGGTGGGGTGTTCATATGCCTAAAATAGTAGAGAAATCAATTTCCATACTCTCTGATGCTGGTCTTGGAATGGCTATGTTTAGCCTAGGTGAGTGATACAAAATTCATTTATCCAAATTCTTTAACAATTTATTCTTTTAATCCTATAAACATCATTAATTTAGATTATAAGTATAAAATGTTACATCTTTTTGTAAACTTTATATGTTGATATGTATAAATAAATAAAAATATTAGTAAAGTAAAAAGAATAGAGCAATCCCACATGATTGAATATGGGTGAGTAGGTGTGAAGCATGGATTTGGGGGCAAAGCATGTAAACAAGTGATAGCCATCCATTATATTGGTGATGTTTGTCTCCGACATATGGGACCCAATTTCAAACTAGGTTACCTTGTTCTTCAGACACAATTGACAATGTTGGTGGTGACTGCCACCCTAATTAACCATAGTGGTTGAAATAATAGAACCATCAATACATATATCTTTTCTTTTCTTTTCAAACAAATTTTTTATTTCATTTCAAGTAGTATTACACCCTGTCTCACTATCAATGTTCTTTAAGATAATGCGTTGAAATATATGGTGATTGTATCTTAGAATGGGGTTAGACATATAAAAAGAGAAATCATATATGATTTGAAGGAGAAATTTTATCAAGTTTGATATAGTAATATCTTATTTATTTGATTTAGGTTTATTTATGGCTCTTCAACCTAAGATAATTGCATGTGGAAATTCTGTTGCCTCATTTGCCATGGCTATTAGATTTCTCACTGGTCCGGCAGTTATGGCCGCTGCTTCCATCGCTGTCGGCCTCCGCGGTACCCTCCTACATGTAGCCATTGTTCAGGTTAGTTATCTATTTTTTTAATTTATTAATAAATTTTGGTAAAACATAATTTTTTTTAATAGTTTTGGTTTCAAACTCATAGCTCAAAATTTGCGATTGTTAACTTGTTGTTTTGGTTGAACATAGGCTGCACTTCCACAAGGGATTGTTCCGTTTGTGTTTGCAAAAGAGTACAATGTTCATCCCGCTATTCTTAGTACAGCGTAAGAAATTAAACCTAATTCTTAATCATGCTTAATACAAATGAAGTTGACTAATTATTTTAATGAATTGAATTGTAGGGTTATATTTGGGATGTTGATAGCTCTTCCAATTACTCTACTCTACTACATACTCCTTGGTTTGTAAAAAAAAGTACATATTCATAGTTTGGAGTTGGAAGATAGTAAACATGCATGGAAATCACAAGTGGATTATTCTATCATCACAAGAAGGAAGATTTTTTTTAATAAATATGTTATTTGAAAAGGGTCACTACTAACTAGTTTTTCAACAACAGAAATTGTCATTCCAAGTCTCAAAAAAACAAGAAGAGGGAATTTGAGAAAATTTAAAGATTTAAATGTTGCATTCCATGTTTCCAAGATGATGTAACTTTCAAAAGAGAGAATGTAACATTGTATGGGAGACATAAAAGAGGAAAATAGGAGAAAACTAGAATATGAACTTGTTCCTTTTCTATCAACCATTTGTATACTTTAATGAGAAAAATATGTTTGGGTAGTAATTGTGTAGATGAAAGAAATTGGAAATGACAATGAAGCCTTTTTACCTAATTATTATTGTTATCATTATTAATATTTGTGTTATTGTCATTGATTGTTTATGGATCCATCAATAATTTGGGGTTGTCGTTTATCTTTTGTTAAGTTGTTTATTTAGGTTGTTTCTTTTTGACAAATTTGAAAAGTGATGACACTGTACAATTTGGTCTACTATCTTTTCATTGCTTTTAGTAGCTATAATAATATTCAAATGATTATTTTAGATTGATATGGTTGAGATGGTAAGGTGAGATATACATATACGTTTTGAAGTTGACTTGACATTGTATTTTAACTATTAATTGAAAAAAGTTAAGGTTTTTTTAATAGTCTACCCAACAGCCAACAAATTGTTAATTTTTTTAATTTTAATTTTATTATATTCAGGGCTCGATATACTTTTAAAATTTATTACAAAAAATTACAAAGTAATTAAAAAAATAGTTATTTAAATTCCAAAAAACAAACATTATTTTTTACGTAAGTGTTTTTTAATTTTTTCGACTCAATATATGAATCACATAATAATAATATGTCTAGAATTATTTCTCAATTTTTTTTAAACATCTCTAAGGGGTTTCTAAATTCCATATGCATACTCTTAAGAAATTATCATTATTTCTCTAAGTTTATCCCTAAGATCCCCAAATCCTTCACGCTATTTTCAACTCTGAAGGTTTTGAAGGTTGTGATAGCAAGCAAGCAAGAGATATATGATTATAATTTTTGAAAGTGGATTTTTTATTGCACCATATAAATTTCGTAGGCATCATGCAAAATTTTAAAAATGTTTTTAATTTTTAGAAATACATCTTTGGACGCACCCTAATACATATATTTCATTCGATTTTAAGTGAAATCTGAATTTTATAAAAAGTCTATTTCGAAAATATATCTCCGAAAATATATAACATGGAACTTACATCAATCTAGTGTAACTTATTAATTTTATTAACTATTTAATTAATAAAATTAATAAAATGTTATTTAAACAAAAATAAATACTATTTAATTAATAAAATTAATAACATCATAAAAAAATAAATATTATTTAAATAATAAAATTAGCAACATTTTATTAAGTAACATTTTATTTAAACAAAAATAAATACTATTTAATTAATAAAATTAATAATATTTTAAACAAAGTAAATTCTATTTAATTAATAAAATTGATAAGTAACATTAATAACATTTTATTAAGTAACTTAATTAATAAAATGTTATTTAAACAAAAATATTAAATAACATTTTATTTATTAAAATATTTTTATTTAAAAATTTTATAATATAAATTTATTTATTAAGTTATTGTACTCAATTTTATTTAATATTTTTTGATGTAATATAAATATTAAATAATTAATTAATAAAATATTATTTAGTTAACATTGACGGTGCTCTGAAAAAAGTTAATATAAATTGTTTTCGGAAATATATTTTTGGAATTTTTTCGAAGATATATTTCTAGAATAAATTAATTTAAAAAAATTTGAATTTCACACAAAAATAAATAAAATGTGTGTATTAAGGCGCGTACCTCTGAAAATTAGAGATATTTTTAAAATTTTGCATGGTGTGTAAGAAACCTATAGGATGTAATAAGAAATGGTCTTTTTGAAATCCAATAGATTCATAACAAGTCAAAATCATAACTCATAAATGAACAAATCTACAAAATAAAACAATGAAGTCCAATACACGTAAATCGAGAAAATTAGACCTGAACTTCGACGAATCGATTTGCTCACCAAATTCGAACCCACTATTACACCTCCGCCAACATCCTGCCATGCTAGATCCACTGTTAGCCTCACTTTTCCCCGGATCCACCAACAGCCTCATTATGCACTACCGCGACATGCCAACTCAGTCGCCAACATCACTTTGGGATTTTGACTTTTGATTGTTGTAATATCGAAATATGTTTTCTTTTTTCTCATCATGTAAGATTTTAAAGTATACTTTAACAATCCTCATTTTGACTTGAAATTGTGTTGACGTCAATTTATCCATCAACCGTATCCTTTTTTATCTTTTAGACTACATAATTTTATTTAAGGGTGCGCCGATATGATGTAGTTTTGTCTCCATCTATAAAATTTAGAGTTTTAATTTTTTTCTTCTAAAATGGATTCTAAAAATCAAAATTTGTTTGAGAACAATTTAAACATGAAGCTCAATATTGTATTTTTTTAAAAAAAAAACGTGTTTAAATATACACATTCAAATAAGAAATAAAGTGAGGAGAAAATAAATGTGAAAGAGATAAAAGTGTACTATCTACACAACATAACCTAAACTAAAATATTCATTATAAACTAACACATCATCAACAAAGAGAAAATTAGCTCAAGATGAGTTGTAGAAACACCAATGAAACATTAACAAAGTTCAAAGACATTACACAAGAAATACCAAGTGTTTATCTAAGAAAATGAGAGTTAGGAGTTTTTGTAGTGAGTTGTCACTCTATTGAATATTTTAAATATCAGACCGAAGATCAAACCGGTAAAATTTACAATTTAAGATTTAATTGGTTAAATCGGTTAAACCTACGGTCGAACCGTTTATTAAATAAAATAATAATATGAAACTAAATTTTATAAATATGTCACACGTTATTATATATTCTCGACTTAATAAAACAAATATTTCAAAAATCCATTACAAATTTAATACAACAATATCAATAATACATAACATAACATAGTTTTACACTTCATTTCAACCATCATTTAAGAATATTTTGACCAAACTAAAGAATTACAATAAAATAAATTAAACTAATTCAAACCAAAGTTAAAATAATAGAATATAATAGCTAAAATAAAGTTCAAATAATTAAGAATTCATAAATTAAATAAGATAGAATATCAAAGTATAAATAATACAACATACTTCATTAAATAACAAAATATCGAATTTGAGTTGAATTAGGACAAACAAGTCTTAATTGACAACAGCAAATAATATTGACTTGAACGACAATCAGTAGAGTTGAACAACGTGACTATGTTTGAAAGAGACGACATGATGATGATGGAGTGTGGTTGAAAGAAAAACTATAATAAAGTAACAAAACATAGAAGTTTGTATGATTGTAAAAAATACATGGAATTCTTTTATGTTATGAGCGACGTTAAGTTCCCATTCCAACAGCTAGTAACGATGCTTGTTTACGGTAGAACGAAAAAGTAACGTACTCTTTTCTAAAAATGAGTTTGAAACAAAAACCCAAAGGATAAAAGGTTTGATTTTTGTTTGTGAGTTTTAGTGAAGTGAATTAGTTTACTTTGTGATTCACGTTGCACTAAAGACTATGATATAGGAGCGAATGCGTCGCATATCGCCCAAAGGGCATACACTAAACACTATAGACAAGTGAGGAGAAACCCCCAACTCATCATTTCCCATATGCTTAAGGCTCGTGGCACATAACGTTCATCGTCTTTATTAGATGAGTTATAATTGTTTTGAGATGAGAAGAGAAGCGCACAGAAGGTCTATGGGAAACTCGATCCTAACGTTGTCATGCAAAGTGGTCCTAAGGTCGAGATGCGAGAGGAAATTCTATCCTAATATTATCATGCAAAAGATGTACCTAAGATTGAGGTTAAAAGGGACTAGCCTACTTGTTATCATGCATGGATTAAACTCCTAACGTCTATCCTACTCCAAGCTTAATCGAAAATTAAGTTGGACTAGGAGACCTTAAGGGAGCATGCAAAGGTAAGACAAAAACAAGAAAAGCAAGGCAAAAACAACAGCTACAACAACGTTTCCTGCATAAAACAGCAGTAAAATCTAGCATACAAGCAAGACAGTCTATAACAGCACATGTTCAGCATAAAAGAAGGTGTAAAAGGCAGGCAACAAGCAAGCTAGCAAAGACAGCATGCAAAAATTCAGAATAAGAACAGTTGTGAAAAGCAGGGCAGCAAGCATGTGTTAATGAAATTAATCAAGAGCAAGTGTAACGACCCCTTTCTATACCCCAAAATAATCACATATCAAATCATATAGTCACGAATACAAGTATTTTTATTTTCATCAGAGTGTATTTACATTAAGGTATAAAAGAAGTGCGTCACAATACTCATGAAACGACCACATGAATATTAATGTTTAAAAAGAATTAACTCAAAAGGGGTAAATCTCAACTAAAAATAAACGCATGATTCTTCGAAATTACATATTCATGTTTTCTCTTAAAGCGGGAGACTAAAACATATATATATTCACTTAAGACGTGACAAAACATAATTACATGTCATCTGGTTGTTCACAACTTCATTCACATACAAACAAAACATCATTAAGACATTCTATAAGCCTATCTACCCAAAGTTACATATCAGAGCGACCGACACGAGGGAAAAGAGCTATACTCCAAAGGAAACCTCCAGCGAATCCTAATCTGCAATGCCTCGTAAGGCATTATAAAACAACAGAAGGGTGAGAAACATTATCATAATAATCAAGGCATAAGATATATGTATATATATATATATATATATATATATATATATATATATATATATATATATATATATATATATATATATATATATATATATATAT